ACACCCTTCAATTTAGTTCAAAATTTCTCCCAGTGACGTTTCATGAATACTTTAGCGGCAGGTAAAATATCATAAATCTCTTTGCTCTACAATTGTACAATTTTTAATTTTAATAAAGAGTCTTTGTGATGTAAACGTGCCAGAATGTAGCATGCTCCGTGAAGCAAGTTTTATCAAAATAAAAAAGCTGTATATTTTTCAATAATCACCGGAGAGCACCAAATTCTTGTATATTTATTGGAAAAAAGAAAAAGATTTTATCTGGAAAGTTTGACCGGTTTCGTTGAAATAGCGCGCTCACAGTAGAACTTGTCCGCGAACTTTTCTAACACCCCTCGTATACCTTTACTTTACTCTGTGACAAATAGTTTGAAGAATGTCCAGTTATTAAACTCGTTTGAAAAAAACTCTAACATTGGCCTACTTTCAAATTTCACAATTGTTTTCCAGTGAGTAGTATTTAACAGAATTTCTGATAATCAATGTTGAATTTCTTTGATACATGTGCATTCACTTACATTTATACATGATAGTACCATTTGTTTATATATATATATTTGTATGTAAATTATTATTTTTGTATGCATGGATATGTGTAACAAAAAGTGTATGTTTATATATACTATACCTACATATATTTGTATGTAAATTATCATTTTTGTATGCATGGATATGTGTAACAGTAGGTGTATGTTTGTGTATGTGGGTATGCATATGTCAAATATCTATTGAACTAACTCCAAGAGATTAGTTTGCATTAAGTTTATAATTATATGCTAAGTACTTATTAATTGAAATTACTATTTCTGTTAATACTTAAATGATTTTTTTTTTGGAATGACCATCTTCAATACTTAGGGTACAGGTTTGCCAGTCTGGCTGTGTAGAGGTATCATCCCCTGGTGCCCTTTGTATTCAAGATGCACTAGTTTTATATTAGAGTACTGCCATTACTACAAATTTTTTTTTTTTTTTTTTTTTAAATTTACCTTATATCTATCATTTTTATTTAATTGTGTTTTCTTTTATCATTCTATGGTTTCTATGCTTTTGATCCAGTGTGGTGATGCACTTCTCAATGTCAAACTTAATCACTAGTCATGTTACATTATCTTTAATATAGAATTGTAATCAATGTTATCATTTTGTAATAATTGTTCATGCCCCCCGTGGGCCCTTGATTGGTGAATAAACATATTTGAATTTGAATTTGAATTATAGTAAATATAAAACTAACGATTATATGCCGATAGTCCGAAAAATAAAAACGTCAGAATCGGCGCCATAACGAAAGCTGGGAATTTCACCGCCTCCACCCGAAGTTGATTTTCTATACTTGGGAATCGAATTAGATGCAGAAATCACACTTTATCAATGACACAATGCTCTTAGAACTCACCAATATCGATGAAAAGAATTTACCACTCCATATTCCTCATCCGAAGTTGCCAGATTTTAAAATGCACGAAATGAAAACAAATCTCGACAGTCAAATAAAATGATTTCATCGGATTATATTATTTCATAAACGAACCATAAAAACGGTGTTGGTGAGTACTAAAGGAATTGCACTATTGATAAAATGTGAATTCAGCATTTAATTTGGTTAGCAAGTATCAACCGCCTCCGGTTGGAGGCGGCGAATTCCCAGTTTTAGTAATGGCGCCGGTTCTGACGTTTTCCTGGCATGTCAAATATCAAAATCGTAAAAAAGCCAGGAAAACGTCAGATTTTTCGGACTAATATGCCGATAGATTAATTCCATGTACTCCATTGATTTAATACAGTTTTTCCTTTCTAGACATGTACATACACACTCTGCAGCTTGCTGGTCTAGGTTGGAATAGACCACAATGCAGTTGTTTTAAAGTAGTCCGATCCTCAGGTTCTGATTGTTCAAAAATTATATCCCTGAATTTGCAAAATCATTTGTTTTACCAATGGCATTTTTTCAATGTCTGTGATTCATATAAACAATATTTTGAGAAAAAAAATATGGAAAGGTGTGCTTATCCATGCATTCGAAGGTTGCATGTTTTGATATTTATACAATTTTTAATTTCTTTTATTCCCTTCATTTTCTTGTTTTACATTGTAAATTATCTTGTGCTGTCATATTGGAAAACATCTTTCAGATCACCTGTTATTTTCTATCATGCTAATAAGTATTGACATGTAAGACTTTTGACCCCCCCCCCCTTCTCCCCAGGAAAAAATAATAAATTGTCATTTTTCTTTCTTTTTTATCGGGCATAATGTCGTCTTTTTACAATACAGGATTCCAACTGCAAAGCGTCAATGAACCTATGAAAAATTAAAAATTGTTATACGAAAAAGAATATGTAAAGCTTAATCTGAGATTTTTGTCGGAGTTTATTTTAAAATATGAAAGAGCTAGCCTTCCTGGTAAAGTATTGGATATCCTGCATGCATATCCAGAAAGAATTAAACTCTGTTATACTTTTACTGCGAAATTTTTATTTCCAACTACAAGGCAAAGGCAGTACTCTTTACACGTTATTATATATTATCAATTATTTCTTGTGTATGTAAGTTCGAATGTTAGTTTCAATACAGAAATTAATGCTTTCTCTCTCTCTCTCTCTCAAACATACACATTGTAATATGTAAAATATCTGATAAAGATGAATTGCGCCTATAGTATATGATGTTTATACCCCCCGCTTGAAAAGTGGGAGGGTATATAGTAATCGTTAATTCCGTCCGTCCGTCTGTACGTCCGTCCGTCCGTCCGTCCGTCCGTCTGTTACGCTTTGGGGTACCCATGTCTTATCCGCAACTCCTCTAATACCACTGAATGAAATTTGATGAAACTTTCACAGAATCTTTATTACACATTGCCATTGTGCACCGGGTACCTGTAAAGTGCGAAACGAAATAGAAACGAAACGAACTGAAACGAAACGAAATCTGCCGAAACGAAACGAAATCTACCGAAACGAAACGAAACCTACCGAAACGAAACGAAATCAAAACGAAACCTGCCGAAACGAAACGAAACAAAACTATCAAAATGTTTTTTTTTTCTTTTTGTAAATCAAGGTATATGTATATAATTATAAATGTGTAACTACATGTGGACTTTTTTTTTACTTCAAATAAAATTCATATACTTCAAGCACTTGTTAATATAAAATTTAATTACCGATAAATTATGCTCCCTTCTCAGTCTAATGATGCATTTACATGTTTGCAAGCTGCAAATATACACGAGCGTACTATGAATGTATAGTTTCAATATGTGTATTATTTTCTAATTTTTATATATCTTAACTCTTATTTTCAGTCCTTATTTATCTAGATTCAACATATCTATCAACATTGATGTGTTATACATGTAAAGGCTCGTTTATGCACGGGTCGAAATAAAGTCACTGTACTGTTGTATTGCGAATGTCCTAAAACATAGGATAAACCAGAGACTTAGAGTATTTAGTATTCCATTCCAAGGTGTCTGGTTTTTTGTTCAATCAGATTATACATGTAACTCCAACCGGAATCTTGTGTATCCTTTGTACACGTACATACGGTCCTATTTCTATCGAGGTAATTTTGGAGGAGGAAAGGAGTGGTTTGCAATAAAGAGGCTCGACCATAGACGTCTTAAACGATTTAACTGACTAGTAAAAAGTCTCTCTAAGCGAACGATGTCACTTTTAAGTAGGTAAATTATTCAGTAAGATATCAACAAAATATGACATAGGTGTCGGAAGCGGCGGGGAGGGGGGGGGGGGTTAGCCTCAATCCCCACTATCTTGCAAAGATCTATATATATTACATAGGCATTGAAAACTGGGTTTACCTTTTTTGTTGGTTAAGCCCCCCCCCCCTTACTTTCAATTTCCTTCCGACGCCTATGTAGGAACTTGAAGCGAAACAATTGCCTGTGGTGCTTGAACTATATAAATTTCATATGAAGTGAAAATAGACCATATAAACATTCTGAAAGGTTTGTTTCGTTTCGTTTCGGCAGGTTTCGTTTTGATTTCGTTTCGTTTCGTCTTGATTTCGTTTCGTTTCGGTAGGTTTCGTTTCGTTTCGGTAGATTTCGTTTCGTTTCGGCAGATTTCGTTTCGTTTCAGTTCGTTTCGTTTCGTTTCGTTTCTATTTCGTTTCGCACTTTACAGGTACCCATTGTGCACCTCCTATTTTACTTTTTGATCCGACACATATTTTGAGTTTCCCGGCCACAGGAAAACATGGACTTTTTCACCAGTTATAACCATATGGGAGGCGGGGGGTATCATTTAGTGAGCTCATCGCTCACAGTACCTCTAGTTGAATGTTGAATTTACTAAGTGGGACAGGTACAGTGTTATATTATTATGTATGTAACTCAATCCACTTGGACATAACGTGGAACTAACTCAGAAGGATTTGTAACGGATATTTGATATCCTCTTTACACTGCACATCAAAAGACTTTTAAAGATTTCTTTTTATTGTAATAATGCATTTTATTGAACTGAAGTAGATCTACACCACTGCAATCTCTGCACATTATGTACAAAGCACAATGATTATTTACACCTCTAGAATTTTCAATTTTAATTCGGTGGGGCGTCAGGCCAGTTGAGCACTAACTGCCACCGTGCGCCACAAATTGTGCCTCCGAAATCTCTTGATAGCGATTCCGCACGAAGCCCTCACGGGCTCCATGTGTCACTCACGACAAAGGCCCTTTTAGTAACTTTCCTTTGAAGAAGTGGGGTGGCCAAAAATTAATTTTACACTTTTCAAGTGTTTTTTCTAAGAGACTATAATTTTTTGGCTTAATTAGAAAAATAGATTAGAGAAATCTATTGGAAAAAAATATATATGGATTGATTATATTAAACGAAAATCGAAAGTCTGAAATTATAAAAGATATAATATATTGTTTTCGATTTTAATTTTTTATTCTGAAACACAAGGGAGAGAATTTTTTGTTCACGCTGAAAAAAAATATCGGGTTCGAGATACACATTCGACAGGAAGTTTACAACAAGAACTCGCACGTTGGTTGTTGGAATTTGTTTAGTTTGGAATGTTCAAGAATATTAGATGCTAAACATGAATTCGGATGGTACGCAAGTCTTACTGTCTGTCGAAGCAGAAGCTTATGTGGAACATCTGGTGAAATTCGGGATAAAAGATGTCGGTGGAAGAGAGTAAGTTGAAAACAACCAGCGTTGTCATAGACGCCGATCATATTTTTTTGTTCTCACTAAATCAGTATATTTTGTAGTACCGGTTTTGAATCCAGTTTTTATGGTTTTAAGGCCAAGGCCCCATTTATCCTTTGCATTTTGGAAAAATATTAACATTTGGTCGATATTGGAAAGAATATCATACTAATCATTTTCCCAAATTACTATGCCCCAACAGTTTATTTTTGTTCTTTAGACCCTAATTCTTTTTTAAAAATACTTTCACACAATTAGCCTAGTATTTTATGCAAAATTAATAGATTTTAAACTCTATTCCTGAAATACATGTTACAGTGTTTGGACATTTATTACCCAATACGTTTAATTTTGTTTTTATTGTCTTCTGGAATTTTCTTTAGTTTATGAAATTTGGGAAAATCATAGTTCATACATTGTATTTACCATTGGGAATTGAACAGATACAGCCGCCTACAATCCCTTAAAACTGGAATCTTAGGCTTTAAGCCACATCCTGTTTGGTAACATTTCTTTTTTTTCTGAAACATTTTGCACTGTTCTCTTTTCTTGGAACGGATGTGTGTGATCCATGAGATTGCACTGTGACATGGATTCTTTAGTAAACATGCATCCCCTCTTAGCTTAAGGTCAGTAAGATTCCTCAAAACTGAAAATTTTTACACTGATGTTAATACAAAACTGAAATATCATATAATTTTAGTTTCGACAAACCCGTAGAGATTATCATTTTTGGTGATCATATGATTAATAAAACTTCATTTGCCGCTTGGTGACATAAGATTATCAGCATTCTGAATATTGTATATCTTACAGATGGGGTAGACAACATGAAAACATGGAAAAACTGAACATGCAGGCAGTAGTCAATGCAACAGCTCAGGAAGATGAATTCATCAAGGATTTTCTTATCTCTTGTGGCAAAGTAATTAGTCAGGCATTATGTTTACATCAAGAACCCTAAACCATGCAGTATGAATTTTAAACTGGAAAGTGTGAAAACTGAGTACATGTGTTATGCATTTATATGATTGTTACTGTTAATAACAGAACTATTTTAAAAATACAGTGTAAAAACTTCAAACAAATTCTGACCAAAACCCAAGAAAGTTGTATAAATTTCAAACCTTTTATGAATTATAGAAACTTAAACTCAGTTACAGTAGCTTTGCATGGCTTATCTTCTGTGCTATACATATTGAAATATGAACAGATAGATTAGCATATCAATTCATCAGATTGTAGCTGTTGATCACGAGCTTTAGATTAGAGTATCACCAAATAATCACATAAAGATGAAAGGAAATTTTATACCGTATGTCGGTAAAAATCACAAGTTTTTGCGATGGATATTTACATACAGAGAATGAAAAGAAAAATAAAAAAAATTTTCCATAATTTTTCCTCCGCTTGTTGATCTGGTATAGTTTGACTTTTGGCTGCCTCTCAATCTTTTAATATGAACATTTCTTTTTGTAGGTAGATGTAGTTGTCCATGATCTGATATTAACAGAGGTTTGGAAAGAAAAGATTTTCCCAGAGCTTGTTGACATGAACTTCAATCCAAAGACAACATTCCCCCTATATATGGTGGTATGTCTAGCATGAAATTCTTTGTCAGCTTTGAGGAATACAATTTTTAAAGAATCTTGCTTTCTTTACATAAGAACTGGATTCTGACATGTTTAAGGATAATGGACAATATATCCTTCAATTTTAGGTTTTTAATTAAGGTTATCTTTATGAGCAAGAAAAACTTTCTTCAATATTTTGTAGCTTTATCATGAAGCGACAGTTGTGAATCTGTTGGAGACTACTATGTTTTACCGTGAGACTTGTGAAGCGGCAGAAGATTGTACACCCGATCTGATAGACTACTGCTATAGAAGGCTAACACAGCTAGTGGCTAGGTATGTATTCCAGATAGATTACTGCTATAGAAGACTAACACAGTTAGTGGCTAGTTATGTATACCTGATAGACAACTGCTATAGAATACTAACACAACTAGTGGCTAGGTATGTATAGCTGAAAGACTACTGCTATAAAATCCTAACACAGCTATACAAAGCTAAACAGCCAGTGGCTAGGTATGTATACCATGTATACCTGATAGACTACTGCTGTAGAAGGCTAACACAGCTATACAAAGCTAAAACAGCTAGTGGCTAGGCATGTATACCTGATAGACAACTGCTACAGAAGACTAACACAGCTAGTGGCTAGGTCCGTATACCTGACAGACTACTGCTATAGAATACTAACACAACTAGTGGCTAGGTATGTATAGCTGAAAGACTACTGCTATAAAATCCTAACACAGCTATACAAAGCTAAACAGCCAGTGGCTAGGTATGTATACCATGTATACCTGATAGACTACTGCTGTAGAAGGCTAACACAGCTATACAAAGCTAAAACAGCTAGTGGCTAGGCATGTATACCTGATAGACAACTGCTACAGAAGACTAACACAGCTAGTGGCTAGGTATGTATACCTGATAGACAACTGCCATAGAAGGCTAACACAGCTAGTGGCTAGGTCTGTATACCTGATAGACAACTGCCATAGAAGGCTAACACAGCTAGTGGCTAGGTCTGTATACCTGACAGACTACTGCTATAGTAGGCTAAAACAGCTAGTGGCTAGGTCTGTATACCTGACAGACTACTGCCATAGAAGGCTAACACAGCTAGTGGCTAGGTATGTATACCTGATAGACAACTGCCATAGAAGGCTAACACAGCTAGTGGCTAGGTATGTATTCCAGATAGATTACTGCTATAGAAGACTAACACAGTTAGTGGCTAGTTATGTATACCTGATAGACAACTGCTATAGAATACTAACACAACTAGTGGCTAGGTATGTATAGCTGAAAGACTACTGCTATAAAATCCTAACACAGCTATACAAAGCTATACAGCCAGTGGCTAGGTATGTATACCATGTATACCTGATAGACTACTGCTGTAGAAGGCTAACACAGCTATACAAAGCTAAAACAGCTAGTGGCTAGGCATGTATACCTGATAGACAACTGCTACAGAAGACTAACACAGCTAGTGGCTAGGTCCGTATACCTGACAGACTACTGCTATAGAATACTAACACAACTAGTGGCTAGGTATGTATAGCTGAAAGACTACTGCTATAAAATCCTAACACAGCTATACAAAGCTAAACAGCCAGTGGCTAGGTATGTATACCATGTATACCTGATAGACTACTGCTGTAGAAGGCTAACACAACTATACAAAGCTAAAACAGCTAGTGGCTAGGCATGTATACCTGATAGACAACAGCTACAGAAGACTAACACAGCTAGTGGCTAGGTATGTATACCTGATAGACAACTGCCATAGAAGGCTAACACAGCTAGTGGCTAGGTCTGTATACCTGATAGACAACTGCCATAGAAGGCTAACACAGCTAGTGGCTAGGTCTGTATACCTGACAGACTACTGCTATAGTAGGCTAAAACAGCTAGTGGCTAGGTCTGTATACCTGACAGACTACTGCCATAGAAGGCTAACACAGCTAGTGGCTAGGTCTGTATACCTGACAGACTACTGCCATAGAAGACTAACACAGCTAGTGGCTAGGTATGTATACCTGACAGACTACTGCCATAGAAGGCTAACACAGCTAGTGGCTAGGTCTGTATACCTGACAGACTACTGCTATAGAAGACTAACACAGCTAGTGGCTAGGTATGTATACCTGACAGACTACTGCCATAGAAGGCTAAAACAGCTAGTGGCTAGGTCTGTATACCTGACAGACTACTGCCATAGAAGGCTAACACAGCTAGTGGCTAGGTCTGTATACCTGACAGACTACTGCCATAGAAGGCTAACACAGCTAGTGGCTAGGTCTGTATACCTGACAGACTACTGCTATAGAAGGCTAACACAGCTAGTGGCTAGGTATGTATACCTGACAGACTACTGCCATAGAAGGCTAACACAGCTAGTGGCTAGGTCTGTATACCTGATAGACAACTGCCATAGAAGGCTAAAACAGCTAGTGGCTAGGTCTGTATACCTGACAGACTACTGCCATAGAAGACTAAAACAGCTAGTGGCTAGGTCTGTATACCTGACAGACTACTGCCATAGAAGGCTAACACAGCTAGTGGCTAGGTCTGTATACCTGACAGACTACTGCTATAGAAGGCTAACACAGCTAGTGGCTAGGTATGTATACCTGACAGACTACTGCCATAGAAGGCTAAAACAGCTAGTGGCTAGGTCTGTATACCTGACAGACAACTGCCATAGAAGGCTGAATCTAACTTTATCTTACCAATGTCTTTCTCAGTCTAACCTTCAGAAAGAAATTCATGTTCAACAGACCTAATGATAAATCTCTTCTTTTTTTTTTCATTTTGTTTAGGTCTGAGAGTGTAGAAGATGATGAGGATGAACCTAATGACCCCACACTATCAGCAGAAACTCACGGTGGTAATATGGAGGTAAGTCTTCAGAAACTCAATATTAATAAACTATGGAAGGGAATTACCGCCAAAAGTCTATGTATCTTGCTTTTATTCTTATTCTGCCTACTTCTTTATGCTTTGTTATTGTTGTAATTATATGTCACTTTATTGTTTTCGTATTCGTCTTTATTACATTACACTTGAGCTTTTATCGTTCTTTATATTGTCCTTACTTCTATGTTGCTTTATTCTTGTGGATACATTCTACTTTCTTTTAATTTGATACTGTTTTTTAAATAAACTATCTCTATTATCTCGATTACGAACGTAAATTCAATCATGTAAACAATGCCGCCTAGCGTTATAATGCGGCACTAAATTCAATGAAGACGAATGTAAGTTGTCCGAATTTAGTGCCGCATTATAACGCTAGGTGGCAGGGTGTTCGCTATACGAGTGTTGGTAAAAATAGGTAAGCAAACCCGGACCGGGGTTATTAAAGATTTTTCAATTTTCTGCCTTAATACTTTATCAATCGAACTTAAATTTTCAAATGATGTTTGTTATAAGTTCAGGTATGTACCCGATAATGCCATTCCCTCGGAAGATGGCAAGATTTCCCCTGGAAGACTGACTACATAGTGATGCTTCCTTCGGAAGACTATTCAGTGAGACTTCCCCCGGGGAGTTTCAATATATAGCTAGTCTTCCGTGGGAAATCTAGCTGTATATAGCAATTCGTCCCCCTTCATAGCAACCCCTCCCCCGAATATTTTTTTAAATCGTAAAACAATGTTTATATGTTAACGTTTTCAATTTTATAAGAAAAGTTATACGTCCTACATAAATAAATGTTTAAATGAAACCATTTTAATAGTGGTTAATGAGCTTAAGGTCTTACGCAAGGAAATAGCCAATCAAAATGAACTTAGTTTAATAATTTAATCATTTTAACCATTTAGTTTAACATAGATAACCTTCACGAGTACAAATGGATAATGAATTCCGCCCCCGCCCCCCCCCCCCCCCCCCGGATGCCCCTCCACTCGGGTGCAATCGCCCGCGTGGCACTGTGGTTACGGCGTCTGCTCTCTGGTCACGAAACACAGTAGTAAGGAGTCAATCAATACGTCGTGGGTACGAATCCCACTATGGGACGTGGAGTTCGGTCCTTCGGATGAGATCTAGAGCGTTTTATCCGAGGTCCCGTATCGCAGTAGGTGCTGGCCCGATAAAAGATCCCCCACTGCCCAATGGCTACAGACTGTATAAGTGCCGAGTATATAGGACAAATTTGCAGCTATCCACCGGCAAGAGGTGGCTTCTCCATTTGAGTTAAAAAATTCTCAAATTTAAAGGGACGTTATACAATCATACCCCCAAGTCTCAATATATATACTGACTTCCGTCTGTACGACATCCTATGGGGTAAGTTTCACCGGTAGAGGGGAGGATGCCACGAAACATTTTCCTAAACGTAACATACTTTTTACTACTGGAAAAGTTCAGCGAAAGGCTTGTTGCCCCCATCCCTTACACTTTTTGTTGCAGTACTAATCACATGCTAATACAATGTAGTCAATTCATATATTAAAGTAGTTAAATGTACTTAGTGGCATATGTACATATGAGTTATATTTGGTACTGAAAAAAAGTTGACAACCCCCCCCCCCCACCACCAAATATAGAATTTTCAAGTTTTAAGATATTTTAACTCTCCTGAGTCCTGGCTGATGTATAATACGGTGCGTACTAAAAAATATTTCTTTTCTTTATTAAAAAGTGCTATTTCAATATAAAATATTAATGTATGAAAAAAGACTGGGGAGTTTCTAGTATGCCTAAGGTGTTGCCTTGTTCCAACTTTGCCTACCAATAACACTCCTCACTCCTTTGCAAAGCCCCGTCCCTAGAATCACACGCATGAGCAATTACTATCTGTCGTGAAATAAAGTTCAGTTCAGTGGAACCAGTGACGGATTTAAGGAGGGGGTGCATCCGGCGCCCCCACCCCCTAAAATTGTCAAAGTTAACATAAATCACAGTTTCGTCTAGAAAATGTAAATATGCTTACTTGGTAGACCTCATTTTTACCTTACAAAATATCTAGAACCCAGGAGCTTCCGGGGGTTCGCCCCCTGAGCCCCCACCAGGGCTTTGGCCCTTGACCTACTGGGAGCCTCAAGGCGGCCTCCAGACCCCTTGCCTTCTTTTGGCGCCCCTCTAACTTCAATTCCTAGATCCAAGCTTGGGAATGTCCTGAAAAACAACTCAATTTATAAATTTATAAAGGGGCATCTAGTATCAAAATATTTAACATTTTTATGTCAATTAAACTGTTTAACGGGAATTCAATTATCCAACAAATAACTTTAGTAGAGTGATATTTTTTCAGGCGAGAGAACTGTGACGTAGCATCGGTTTTGAAAATTCAAGCTATCCGCTGAAAACAACTTGACAAGCAAAAAAAAAAAAAAAACAAACAAAAAAACAAAAAACAAAAAAACCAAGGAAATTGTCCAAACTTGAAAATACATAGGCGTCGATCGGAACCGCAGAGAGAGGGGGCCCCCACTTTTTCCCAAAGTTAGACTTAGTATAGACATTGAACATTACTGCGTAGGTTTAGCCCCCCCCCCCCCCCCCCACACACACACACTTTCCATGGACTCGATGCAGCATAGGTTTTAAATGTGGAAAGTGGTGGTGTTTTGAAAAAAAGAAATTGGCACTGAAATTTGACCCCCCCCCCCCAACACACACACACGATATAGGATTTTTGTGTGTGGACAGTGGACATTTCTCTCTCTCTCTTTTTTTTTGCTTGTCAAGTTTTTTTTTTTTTTTGAAGGTCTAAAAAATATTTCTTACGCTTAACCCCCTCCCGCCCCAACTTTCACTTTGCTTCTGATGCCAATGAAATCATATTAAGGGGGCGGGTGGGTTTTGGGTTAGATTCAACTTCTTCTATAGTATAAAATTTATATGTTATCCCTACCATACTACATTAACCGTATTTGACCCTTACCCTTACAAAAAGTGGGTCGGCCTTTCAATGAGCATATTCAGTAAAGTACCGGTATATAAAGTTATGTTTAAAAAAAGAGGCCGCTATCCCAGAGGAAATAAATATGGAGTTTCCATCATTGGATCGGGTGATCGGATTCGGCCTTCAGATGTTCGATTGATAAAGTATTAAGGCAGAAAATTGAAAAATCTTAATAACCCCGGCCCGGGTTTGCTTACCTAGTTTTACCATCACTCGTAGCGAACACCCCTGCCACCTAGCGTTATAATGCGGCACTAAATTTTGACAACTTGTATTCGTCTTCATTGAATATGCTTCATTCTTTGTGTGATTGAATTCACGTTCGTAATTGAGATAATCATTTAAGAAACTGTATCAATTTAAAAGAAAGTAAAATGAATTAACAAGAATAAAGCAACATAGAAGTAAGGGCAAAATGAAGAAGGATAAAAGTCAAAGTGAAATGCAATGAAGACGAATATGAAAACAATAAAGTGACATATAATTATAATAATAACAAAGCATAAAGAAGTAGGCAGAATAAGAATAAAAGCAAGATACATAGACTTTTGGCGGTAATTCCCTTCCATAATAAACCACTTAGTTCTCAGAGACTGTCAATGGTACCGTGGTATAAGTTGTCAGGAACTCATTGCTAAATAATACGTCCTCACAAAAATCCAATAAAAACAAAGAATTAATTTTGTAGGAACATTGTTCACTAAATTTTTGATACTCAGAAACTCAAAATAGTAAAATGGTGGTAATTAGTTGTCAGAAACTTTTTGTTAACATAGTAGTTAAGTCCTCAGAAACACACATTCCTAGCAAGGGCTGGTCACCTTAAACCACAGAAACTACTGTCATTGAATTTTGGCAGTAAGCTAGCTAGTCCTCCGAAACTCACATCGGTAATTTGGCTGTAAGTCCTTGTTAATAACTAGTCTTTAGAAGTTCACAGTAGTTGTGTAGTTACTGTAGTAAATCCTCAGTAACTCTGTGGAAAGATTTTAGCAGCAGACCTGTTTACTCTTACGATTTCACCGTATTTTGTACGGATTTTTAGTCCAAAATACGTCTCACGTTTTGCTATTATGAAAATACGGAAATCCGAAATACATTTGTTTGGAATTTAGCAGCTGTATTTCTTTAGGATCTATCTCAATTTCACGTTTTTAGATGACTTTAAAAAAGAGAATTAAAGATTTCAAACACAGAAGTGATATCGGGGTGCCAAAATGATGTGGTATTATATGACAACGACCAAGTTATTATACCATATTTTAGCAATCAGAAAAGCCGTTGTTCTTCATTAATATATGTAAAATCGATGGAAAATGAAATCTTACTGGCATATGCCAAATCTCACGGACAAATCTACTCAAAAATACTGAGAAACAACGATATAGGTAAACAGGTCTGTAGCAGTCATTCATCAGAAATTTTAAGTGGTAACAAAATGGTATGATGGTAAAATGACAGCAAGTCTCCAAAAATTTGGTTGTAAAAATTTGGCCAGTTCCAAAGCTTATCACCGAAACTAATACAAGCATGTTTGATGAAAAAAATAATTTTTATAAATTTGAATTATTTTTTATAAGACAAAAAAACAGTGGTCTATATGATTGATATGAATGATAATAAATATTTTTGTTACAGGAGTTGCAGAAACAGGAGAAGAAACTAAATTTTGAGATTTGTATCAAGGTGATTTCTCTTCTGCGGTACATCACAGACAATCTGGAAAGGTAGGTAAACAGCTCATTATGTAGTATACCTGTACTGTTTTTCTACTGTTGTAATGTAGGAAAGTTGATTTAAATCTGCTACATGTATTTCAAAGGCATGTGTTTCATTTTGAATTAATGATTGTTTCAAATTATTTTTAGCTTGCCATTAAGTGTAATGACCAGAATGCTAAATACATTGGACATTCCTATTCTGTTAGTTCAACTAGTAGAATGCCCACCTTGGACAAAAAGGAAAAATGGTAATTTAACAAAAAGTTATTGGGAAAACTATTAAATTTTATATGAAATACTCTTTAAGTCAATAATATAGAAAAGGAATAAAATAAATAGAGGATATTCGATGTTTTGTAGTTGAATGTGGAATTTATTTCACGAGTGGGACAGGATTTTTGATATTTTCACGAGTGCGAAGCACGAGTGAAAATATCAAAAAATCCTGTCTCACGAGTGAAATAAATTCCATATTCAACTACAAAACATTGAATTTTCTGTTTATTACATTTTTAAACAAAAATCTTTGATTTTTCCTTTGCCTCTGCCTTTTTGTAATACAATGATAGGCTACATGACGTCATAGTTGAGCGGTTGAGACGTCATAGCTATGTGAGGTGAAAACACTGTAATCATGGATTTAGCAAAATATTTTGGCAATTTTTGACAGTTTTATTTGCTGTCAGAATGGTTTATTTATTTCCATCTATCTTATTTTATGTCAAGAAAGTTTTTTTACAACAATCTTCGTTATGGGAAGGGAAATCTCGAGTTTTCCCGCACTTCTGATATTCGTCACACTGTGACAGGATATCATTTTGATATCCTTTCATACTGTGACAGGATATCATTTTTATTCAATGAATAAATTACAGTATATCACGGGTAAAAATGTAATAAACTTCATTTTCACAAAGAAAATTATTGTTCTTCTAAAACTTCAAGAATTAATTACATGTATGTCGAAACTGATAAATTGTGTGTAGCGGTTTGTTTTCTCTGCAGGAAAAGTATTCAAATTTATTGACAGTAAGTGGCAGGAACTAAACTTTGAAGAGAGCATGAAAATCACAAAGATAGAGGGACAGGTAATGTAGTATGGAAATTGACCCATCACTCAGGTTATTTACAACTGTGATAAGTCATTAACAGAGCCTGAGCTTATCAAAAGCTAACAAAATAACCTCCAAAATGTAGTTGAATTGGAAAAAAGCATATGAAAAGAGAGAGTTGCTACAAATTCATTTTTTCCTCAGACTTGAATCTGAGAGACTGATAATTGACTTTATTTAACAAGCTGCTCACGAGTTTGACTTTTTTTTAGTTTGAAGATGAATGTATATGAGATAGAAGTAGAAGCTCACTATGTATTTTTTTCCTGTTTGTTTTAGATTTGGCTGGCCTTGTACACACTGCTGATGAATGGTAAATGTCAACAGAAATATGATCTGAACACTCACAGGAAAAACAGTATCCTCAAGGTATGCTTACACAAAAGACAAAATCTGTATAAAAATAAGATATAAACTGAACACTCACAGGAAAAACAGTATCCTCAAGGTATGCTTACACAAAAGACAAAATCTGTAAAGCTTATTTGACAAGAGGCCCAGGGGCCACAGCGCTCACCTGAGCACATCGGCTAGGAAAAGGCACATATCAGATCAGAACTGAAAGTTTACTGAGGTGGGGGGGGGGGGGGGGGGCTTGAATTTTAACCCCCCAGGGGATCATGCTTTGAACGTGCTAGAATCAACACAACCTGAGGATGATTCCATATAAATATTAATAATCATGGCTTTGAAGTACTTGAAAAGAAGATTTTAAAAGGTTTCCCTATATATTCTAATGTAAAACTTTGATCAGCCATTTTGGCCCCACCCTACCCCCAGGGGTCAGGATTTGAACAAATTACATCTATACTACCTGAGAATGATTCCACATGAGTTTCATCTTTCCTGGCCCAGTGGTTCTTGAGAAGAAGATTTTTAAAGATTTTTCCTATATATTCCTATGTAAAACTTTGATCAGCCATTTTGGCCCCACCCTACCCCCGGGGGTCATAATTTGAACAAACTTGAATCTATACTACCTCAGGATGATTCCACATGAGTTTCATCTTTCCTGCCCCAGTGGTTCTTGAGAAGAAGACTTTTAAAGATTTTTCATATATATCACTATGTAAAACTTGGGTCGGCCATTTTGGCCCCACCCTAGTCCGGGGGGTCATAATTTGAAAAAATTTGAATCTACACTACCTAAGGAGAATTTCACCTGAGTTTCATATTTCCTGTCTCAATGGTTCTTGAGAAAAAGATTTTTAAAGATTTTTCATATATATTCCTATGTAAAACTTTGATCGGCCATTTTGGCCCCACCCTACCCCGGGGGTCATGATTTGAACGAACTTGAATCTACACTACCTGAGGATGATTCCACATGAGTTTCATCTTTCCTGGCCCAGTGGTTCTTAAGAAGAATTTTAAAGATTTTTCATATATATTCCTATGAAAAACTTTGATCGGCCATTTTGGCCCCACCCCACCCCCGGGGGTCATGGTTTGAAGAAACTTAAATCTACACTACCTGAGGATAATTCCACATGAGTTTCATCTTTCCTGGCCCAGTGGTTCTTGAGAAGAAGATTTTTTAAAAATGCCATTAATTTTTCTCTTATTCATAATTATCTCCCCTTGGAAAAGGGCGTGGCCCTTCATTTGAATAAACTCGAATCCCCTTCACCCAAGGATACTTTGTAGCAAGTTTGGTTGAAATTGGCCCAGTGATTCTTGAGAAGAAGATGAAAATGTAAAAAGTTTATGACAACGACGACAACAATGACGACGACGACAGACGATGGACAAATTTTGATCAGAAAAGCTCACTTGAGCCTTCGGCTCAGGTGAGCTAAAAATAAGATATAAACTGAACACTCACAGGAAAAACAGTATCCTCAAGGTATGCTTACACAAAAGACAAAATCTGTATAAAAATAAGATATAAACTGAACACTCACAGGAAAAACAGTATCCTCAAAGTATGCTCACACAAAAGACAAAATCTGTATAACTTACCCGGTATATAAAAATTAGATATAAACTGACCACTCACAGGAAAAACAGTATCCTCAGGGTATACTTACAAAAAAGACAAAAAACTGTAAACTTTGTATAAATGAGGTATAAACTGAAAAAGACTCCAAAATACAAAACAAATTTACAAATCCAGTTTATCTTTTATTTGGAGTTGCTTTCTCATGAATTACAAACTATTATTAATGGTTACTGGTTTATAAGGTAGATTCAATGAATCAGTATCTTTTCAAAATAAATGTTCATTGAGAATGAAAATTCATGGATGAAGATGAATCTCGAAATCTACAAATATTGGTTCCTGAGAGACAATGATGATTCCACACTATTTTGAAAGTTGAGGTCCCACATGACAAAGGTTATAAATTATGTTGAAATTTGAGATCCCAGTTTACTGAGATTATAAATCATGCTGAAAGTTGAGGTACTTTTTGACTTATGTTATTGAGTTCAAATAAAGTTGAGGTTCCACTTGACTGAGGTACTTTACAATTTACTACGTTTTTAATTTAGGTCCCACTTGAATGGGATTACAGTAAAACTCATTTAGTACGAACACAGATATAACGAATTCATGGATATAGCGAAGTTTTTCTGGGTCCCTGGTAAAATTCTTAACAAATCCTTGTAAAATTTTACGGTAATAACGAACTCTGATATAACGAATTTACGGATATAGTGAACTGATTTTGGGCCCCATTGATGTTAAATATAATGAAATTTACATCTTTTATAACGAACTTTCAAAGATCTCAAAATTTGATATATTGAACTGACTTATTTTTGTTCATGGAATTGTATATATAATTCAGTTCACAATAAAACCTTAGTTATCGAAGGCATGTTTTGTAATATTTGCTTCCCTAAGTAACATATTTGGTAGTAATACTTGAAGGAAAACCTGCATATTGCGAATTCGCTTTATATGGTTTTACGAATTTGTTATACGGTTATAACGAATTACGGATATAGTGAATTAAATTCACAGGTCCCTAGGACTTCGTTATAACCGAGTTTTACTGAATAAGTTACACTTTAAGTTGAGGTCCCACTTGACTGAGATTATTAGTTACATTTTAAGTTGAGGTCCCTTTTGACTGATATTATTAATTACATTTAAATTTGAGGCCCCTTTTGACTGAGGTTATAAATTCTGTTAACCTGGCTTACGTTATTAATTACAGTTTAAGTTGAGGTCCCACTTGACAGAGGTTATTTATTACATTTGAAGTTGAAGTCCCACTTGACTGAGGTTATTTATTACATTTGAAGTTGAGGTCCCACTTGAGTGAGGTTATTGAGGTCCCACTTGAGTGAGGTTATTGAGGTCCTACTTGAGTGAGGTTATTGAGGTCCCACTTGAGTGAGGTTATTTATTACATTTGAAGTTGAGGCTATTTATTACATTTTAAGTTGAGGTCCCACATGACTTAGGCTATTTATTACATTTTAAAGTTAAGGTCCCACTTGACTTAGGTTATTTATTACATTTTAAGTTGAGGTCCCACTTGACTTAGGTTATTTATTACATTTTAAGTTGAGGTCCCACTTGACAGGTTATTTATCACGTTTTAAGTTGAGGTCCCACTTGACTGAGGTGATGCTGGATCAGCTTCCTATCTTGGTTGAGATGCAGAGGTACCTGGAGCACCTGTCAATGATGGAACCTCCCGCCCCGGCTAGAGAACTCATCCTTGAACAGGTACTTTAACGACGTTCGATCCTTCGATTCGTTCGATTTAAAGTCTTAAACTTTTTTTGCCAGTATATTTTTAGTTTCTACGTACATAGCTTAATTAAAATTCAAATGAAAAAATGTGGGTCAATATGCTTCTTTTGGCACTACAGTACATTTAATATGACCTTTTTGCACTGAAATTTGTGTCTTAATTAAAAATTAAATTTTTTCCCTCCAATATTTTTATCCAATTAAAGCATGAAACAATATGAACTCTAAGTTTGTTTAAAAAAAGACACTTAAAAATTGTGACTAAGAAAAAGTTTCAAATTGCTTCGCATAATCAATTATTTGACCTTTCTGCGCTAATAAAAGGTGATTTTTCGGGCATTGAAAATTTAATATGCCAGAAAAGTATTTTAAAGTCTTAAGCTTTTTCTGATTTTAAGCAAATAGGTCAAATTTATCTTGAATATATAGAAAAGGACATCAAAAGTGGGGGTATATGATGTAAATTTTTAGATATCACTAAAAAAGTGTCAATTTTACGTTAAAATTGGCTCAATTTTTTCCCGGATTTTCAGAATATATTTACTATATTTGTCACACTTTGTTGATAGAATTCGTAAGAAATAATTTAACAGATATTTCAGAACCAGCATAACAAATTTCACTGCAAAAAACAACTTTGTGTGCAACCAGGATGGAAAAATAGGAATCCAAAATTAACAGTACTGTTATAGTTCAAAATGGAAAAACTGATCATTTTCGTCTAAAAAACCTTCCGCCACAAAATATAGTCCCTAGCTTAATTCTTTTTGAATGGAATTTAATCGCGGTTTTTTCATTGAATATAGTTAAATTTGAACTGTAGAATTCAGATTTAATGTTAGAACTTAAAAATGATGCAGAATTTTATAAATAAAGGACCTTACCAAAATACGCTCAAAATCTCAGGATCGTCCTTAAATAGGTTCATCATCAGTACATTGACTAAATGAATTTTTGGGGTTTTTTTTCAAACAAAAATTAAATTTTATAGACAGATATTTTGATTTACTTTAATTGATGCCCATGAAAGATTTTTATAAAATTACTCTTCGATTTCTTTTATTAATACGTACTGTAAAGGTTGATATTTTTACAAGATAATTTTAAGTTCCATTGAATTAATTGTTAGTATAGGCCCTGTGGTTTTTTTTTTTTTTTTATGAATTTATACAAACTGCGTTGGCTTTTTGTTTAATACGAAACTGTTCCATGTTGATTGTAAGATGCAAATAAAATGACAGATTTTTACCACAGGTTCCAGAGATCAAAGAGAAAATTTTGAATGACAATAAAGGAAAGTGGAAGAAGATTGCCAAGAAACAGTCCCAGACTTTCTTCAACCCCTCAGACAGTGATGTACGGGCCCAGGCTAAAAGGTAAGACTGCCTGGTAAGGTTAAATCAGTGATGTTAGGAGCCAACCCAAAAGGTAAAAGAATGCCCTGGTAAAATTAGGTCAGCAAGTGAAAGCTGGACCAAAAAGTAACAATGACCTGGTAAAGTTAAGTCAGTGATGTCAGGGCAAAATTATCTATTAAAGTGAACCTAAATAACTGTATTGTTAGGGCTTAGCAAAAATGTATAAATCGACAGTAATAATAGCTGTTGAATTTAGATGAGGGGTACCTATCTTAAAAAGAATTCTTGATAACTTGCAGAAGCCCATGGGCCAATATTTTAAAATATGATTTACATGTATTTTTATTCCCTCCTCTTTGATACATCTGTTTTTGACCTGTAGATGGGCGGACACCTATAACTTTGATGTGTTGGAGGGACTGCTGACAGACCCCCCTAAGTGTGCGGTGTGTGGGGCTGAAGCCACCAAAAGATGTTCACGCTGTCAGAACGAGTGGTACTGCAGAAGGTAAGCCATATTATATAGAAAGAAAGTACATGTGCAGAAAATCAATTTAAAGTGTTTTTCTTTTACTGTGAATTTGTTAAGATTTTATTTGATTTTTTTTTTGTACAAAATCTATTATCATCCTTTTTTAAAATATGTTTTAGATTGTTTGCATCTGCTGCTATTTATTTGCTTATTGCAAGATGGAAATGCATGTAAGTGTGAATTTTTTAATAACTTAACGTGTATATTTCAGGGAGTGTCAGGTTTCTCACTGGAAAAAGCACAAGACAGCCTGTGACCTGATTCTAGAAGCCAATGATTCTGTGAAGGCCAATGGATAACAGGAAATTGAGACCAATGTGTTTGAACAAGGGAGATAACTTGTCACATGTTTGCAACTAAATGTTTCCATCAATATTTTCTGATTGACAATCAAGCATTAAAAGCAATTCAGAGAAGACTGTGAATCCCAAACCCATCAATTTGGTTAATATTTATTTAAAATTCAAATTTTATTTATTGAATATTTATTTATGAATTTCAAAAGAGAGACATATTAAAAGAGATCTGTTATGTTGTTTTATGATGCTATTGGAGTAATTTTGGTTGTACATCAGTTATGTGTTATTTATTGGAAATATAAAAAGTGGTTCAATACCTTTAAATTGATGGAATATATTTACATAATTTTTAAAGTACGAGGGTTGTCCCGTTAAATCGTGGACAAGTTGTCTAGTTTGAAAAATAATCATCACTGCGTTCTGAAAGTTTCACTACTTTTTAGTACATATATTATAAATATACATAGCAAATTTCAAATAGATATGTGCATAAATAAACAAATTGTGATATTTTATGTTATGTACTGTAGCGCCCTACAGCGCACGGATGATAACGTCGACGTGTCTAAAACAGCGTCACGCTTCATGGTTGCTAAAATAAAGTTGGATATGCCCCACTTAAATTTAGAAATTTGATTGATTTACACACGTGAGTGTTTATTACCAGTTAAGGAACCAATGTGGCACCCTCATGCGATCTTCTGAAGATTTGTGAGCAAGTTACGGACAGTATTCTCACCATCAGTCAAGTAAATGAGAATCTCATATCGACGGTCGACAGTGACAGCGTCTTTTACTATTACAATGGCAGTCTGTCCGCATGTTTTGTACTATCTTGGGACTCAATCAAGAAGACTTCGCTAAGAAAACGTCCATTTTATTTGTATACTAAAAATCTGGTGATATTTTTCATATTTTCGTTCTTCCGTATTTATTTAAAGTCTTTTAAAGTGTCATTAAAACATCCTAATCTACCTGAACTGCTCTCCGATGCGCCGTAACGTCATGAAACGTCGCCATTTTTCGTGTATTGTGTATACAACTTTTCCATTTCGAATGCTCGGGAAACAGCCAAAATTTAACCAAATGCCTTGAAATTTTCAAAACGACAATAGAATTGATTAAGGAATCGAATTAGGATAATTTTCATCCTAATCTTCTGTATTGAAAACTTTTATTACGAATTAATACTTGTATATTCTCTAATACAACCTTGTTATTTTTACCGTGCGCCGTAGGACCGTACCCTGTGCACCTTCAAGCAGAATAAAATCTTTATTTTTGTATATATACATGTATTATCAAAAACATTATGATAGACTTAAATATGATGAATAAACATTTACTGAAAATTTCAGCTTAGTGCGCCCATTACTTTTCGAGAAAAACGCTTTGTCCACGATTTTACGGGACAACCCTCGTACAAGTTCAATTATTAAAATAATTAAAAGATGAAATTTTATCTATAATAAAACTTGTCTTATTCAAACTCCACTTGTTCCAACTGTGGTTAGAGTGTCTGTTTTAGATCATACCTAGTGTGAATAGAAAATCGTTATAGCCCTGTTGCATCTTTAATTATGCCCCCCTTCGAAGAAGGGAGGGCATATTGCTTTGCTACTGTCTGTCGGTCGGTCTGTCAGTCGGTTAAGTTTCCGTTCATTTTCTTCACAACCGTTGTACATTCTGAAATAGAATTTGGTATACAGATATATCAGAAGAATATATAGGCCAGGTTCTGTTTTGGGTATGGTCGCGCCATTTTTAGCTCTACTGGTCAGAGACCAGAAGAGCTAATGCGATAGTAATGCGTTCGGCGTCCTCTGTCTGTCCAGCTGTCTGTCCATCTGGACTGAGTTGCTCAAAACACTGGTTAAATTTAACCACTGGATAAGTTAGCCGTTGGTTAAATTCTATATCCACTGGGTAACTAACCACTGTTCAAATATTTGTTGCTCAAAATAAAATTAGCCTCTGGTTAACTAACCACTGGATAAGTGAATTAACCACTGGTTAGTATCCCACAATGCATTACACTTGTCCAGTTGTCAACCAAAAAAAATGGCTACCATGGTAAATATCAAATAAGTAAATAGTGAGACGTTTCACATTACAACCGTATGTGGAGAAGTGGAAAATATCGAGATGTAACAGTTATCAAAACTAAACAAACATTTTAGTCACAAAAAGTGAAGAATGCACAAGTCAGCTGGGATTATGTTTTGCTGAAAATTCAAGTGGAGGATGCAGTAATAATGTAAATACATAGACTGGAATTGTTATAGGATTAGCACCACAGGTAAGATGGATAGGAAGCATGTTTAGAATGATTGCAGAAACCTAGATGCTCATTAAACTGTTAAACATTAGGCCTAGATACAGAAAATATTTTAAAGACAATACCAGCTACTAAACACTTGGCTATACTTAAGACTTACAAGGCAAATGCATCAATTTGTATTGTTTCATACTAATATAAAAACTTATTGAAGCCAGGACACCTTTACTGTTTACACGATGTAAACGTCGTCTGCTATTATTCGAGGAAATTCGCACTTGTTGAATTATTGCTTTTATACATACCTTGACAGAAAGATCTCAGTTCAGTGGTTTGTCAAATATTTCCAAACAAGAAATAACTTTCAGCACATTTACTGGTATGTTATCCTGCATTACAATGTACTAACACTATCTGAAAGTGGGTAGCATTTTTTTTTATTACAGAAAGGTCATGGTCGAATATACAAGTTGATATAGCGAGTTCGTCACTAATGCATTTCGCTCCGTACAATTAAATTTTGCGGTGTAACTAAAAATGCACTATCCAGAGTGTATTCTATAAATACATAACCTTTTAATATTAGCATCAATATATGTAGACATTAGACAAAAAAAAACTCTATGTGGATATCAATAGCAGAAAGTGGAGTGGCTAATTGAATGTGGATTGAGGTGGAGGGGGGGGGGGGTTAAAGTAACCAAAAAAGGTAACCCCAATTTTCAATGCCTTTATAAAGTCTATCTTTGCAAAAAAAGGATAAATATTAAAAAAAAATAATGCTAGATTTATTTTGAATGAATATTTTAATTCATTGTATCTCACGCCGAGACCATGCGAAAATGATAATGAAATCAAAGGAAATGGAAGGCATTTTATTTAATGCAGCAGTCAACAAGAAAAGTAGTTTAATAAAATAAGCAGATAAAAAATATCGTCAAGGAAATGATAACTAATATTATTTTGAAATACAAAAACAAATAATTAATGCAAGATATTTTTTTTAAAAAGGGTTGGGGTAGAGGAACTAGAGGAGGGTGTGTGTGTATGTGTGTGTGTGTTGGGGGGGATGTCAATTCTCAATGTGATTTTAAATATTGATGTATGTTAACCAAAGTAACAATTTATTTCTATCCATTAATAGACCTATATCATGCAAATGACCAACAAATTTATTCATTTATATTTGTTATTTAAAATATACCTAAAATAATTATTTATTTTTCAGCGAGGGAAGGCCGCTTGATAAGATCCTTTGTAATGCCAACAGATTAATCCTTGAAAGAACTCATTTAAAACATTTCTGCTGATGATGAAGACATAAAAACCTATCATATTCCTGACTGTGATGTTATTCCTGCCTAATATTCTACAAAACCATGTCAACTTGACTTTATATTACTGCATACGTCTTTTTAAGTATTCATCAACATTAAATTCTTGGTTACAATATCTATAAGCCTTTGTTTCTTTTGCTATCTCCCAAAATTTACAACAAATCATAATGTTTAGTCATATTTATCCACTGGTTAAGAGACTTAACCCACCTCTTTGGAATGGCTAACTTTAGCCAATATTTAACCACTGGATAGCAAAGTTAACCAGTGGACAAATTTTGAGCAACAGAATTTAACCAGTGGTTAAAAGTTAACCACTGGATAAGAGATTTAACCAGTGGTTAACCTTAACCATTGTTTTGAGCAACTCAATCCTGTCTGTCTTTAAACAATTTTTCAAAAAGCTACTCCTCCTAAAGTTTTGGTCTGATTTCAATACAACTTGGCACACAAGTAGACTACACTAAGATACATAATTCTTTATATCGGTTTTTGATTTTGATGAATGGTGTTGCCATTGTTACCAAAAATAGAAATTTCTTTGAAAATCATTCAAAATGCTACTACTCCTACAGTTTAGGTTTGATTTCAATATATTTTGGCACACGAGTAGACTACACTAAGATACATAATTCTGTTTATCGTTTATT